GAATACAGCACCTCAGACTGAGGAAGTCTTTCGGATGAAAGACGAAACCTTTCTACTTTTTTCTTTTTTTTTAGTTTGTTTTGTTTTTTGAATGTCCAGAGGACCAGACTTAACTTTTGTAGACATGTCCAATCTTATTTTGAAAAACCGCGATAGAGTGAGTCCACAAAAAACAAACCGCAAAATAGCGAGGGACTATTGTATTGTCATTGCACCGAAGCACAACGAAGTTACATTTCAGTACAGCTTTCAACTAATATTTATTAAAGCTGCATGCATACTGCAGGATAACTCCCCTAGAAGAGGATGGGGCTTTGGTGTCAGGTGCAGGGTTACATGCTCTTAGTGTTTCATGGAAATGGAAACTCTGTGTGTAATTGTTGAAGAGCCTGCCACAGCAGCCGGTCTACTCAACACCTGGGGGTTTATAAAACAGACGAACAACAAAACAGCAGCTGTTTATGCAGGTACAGAGCCGATTTTAAGCTTGACTCATGAATTTTAAATAATATTTAATCAGCTACCATTTTTGGAGCTCATACTTTCTTCATCTTTTCTTAAAATGATCTTCCAGTGCTTCTTGTGCAAGTTGCACACTCATCAGTGGTGCTTCCTCCTCTTCAATGTGCTACTCTACCATGCCTTGCTGTTTGGGGCAGATTTTGTTGAGGAGTACCTCCTGCAGCTCACACTTGTGGTTTACACTGATGGCACAGTCATCAGGGTAAGAGAAAAAGCAAGGAAACTAGACCTGAGTGCCTCAAAGGAGAACCTGTCCAAGTCCTACACTATTTCCAACCCTGAAGCCTGCAGAAACTCTGACATCTTCTTCCTTACTCTGGTCTTCAGCTCTTCAGCTAATCTCACCCAAAGAAATGCTATCAGAAAGACATGGGCAAACCAAACACTAATCCAAGGCTTTTCAGTAAAGATGCTGTTCTTTTTGGGATTGATTCAGACCTCTGAATAACAAGAAGACATCGTGGGGGAGTTTGAATGTTATGGAGACATAACCCTGGCAGATGAAGCAACTCTCCATGGTCTAAAAGAGAGGACATTCTTGGCTCTTCTCTGGGTTATTGCTTTTTGTCCTCTTTCACGCTTTGTTCTGCTGACTAAAGAGTCTGTGTTTGTCAACCTACCTGCAATTGGGAGTTACCTGCTGGGGCTTCACAGGTATCCTGAAGATCTGTATCTGGGTAAAGTGATCCAGAAGGACTCTCCTGACAGGAATCCCAACAGCCCCAGCTTCCTGCCACTCACTCTCTATCCAAACAAGTTCCTTCCTGAATATTGTGAATGAACTGCCTACGTTCTGTCGCAGGATGTTGTCCGAAAAGTGTATGTGGCGTCTGCAGCAGACCTGGCACCTGTGCCCATCGATGTTTTGGTTGGCCTCTGCGCTCAGAAAGCAGGTGTTGCACCGATCCACAGTGCCAGGTTCTCAGGCGAGAGACACATCCACTACGTTTGCTGCTACCAGCATCTGTTCAGCTCAGCAGGAATGGAGAGCCATGAGTAAGAAAGAGTGTGGAAAGATCTGAAACAGAAAGGTGGACAATGCTCTCTGCAGAAGACATATTATGGTCTGGTGAAATGCAAAATTCACATATATTTGGACAAACTGGCTCTGTTCAATTAACAGGGGGATCATGTTGTTATAAATAGGGATTAAAAAATATTTGTTTTTTTGGGGGGTACAGGTTCAGCTTGAAGTGATAAATGTTGAATTAGGTTGCCATGTAAATTTTACTTCTTGTGAGGAAACCACCTGGCTCCAATAGAAGGAGCAGGATCTCCTTTTCAAAATTTTGCCTCATTTTATGCCAATTTAAACAACTCGTAAATTTTATTGTAAGCATGTCAAATGTTAACATTGGCATACCTTGCAAAATCCTAAACCTCACTTTAAGTTACTACTCTGACTATTAAAAAAACATTTTAAATTGTTTTTTTGTATTTTTCTTAACTTCTGTTGTCACATGTGTTGGATCAAGCTAGAAGTTATTGTCGTTAATGTTCTTCCTGGATCTTGCCAGACGTCCAGTGGCCAGTAGGAGGCATAACAATCCATTGGCAGCACAAGCAGAAAACCTCAAGCAAGTTTGTATTTTCAATGTACATTTTATGTGATCTTATAACATTAAACACCATAAAATTTATCATAATTTTTATGACATCCACATTAATTTTTAACTTTTAGTATATCATTTGCATGTGTGCGTTTATTCTAATTTAGTTTTATGTAACCAAAATATGCTACATAAACATATCCCTTTTTATCCTGTAAATGTTGCACAAACACTCTTTTTCCTATTCCACAAAGGAAATGCTTGGCCTCTTTCCCTGCACCATCAGCCGACCAAACAAAATTTTTGGATGTTCTGCGATGTGTTTCTTGCCAGTGGTTTACACTGAAACACTTGATTCCATGTTGGAAAAGTTCCACTATGTCTGCTGTGCTTTCCCCAAAGTGTCGGTCTCTTTTTTTTTTTCACAGCAGCTTTTTGACATCAAATGAAAAAAATAAAATAATTTTTAAAAAGTGCATACTAGAAAATACTCAGTTGCTAAAAAGACCAGAACCTTTACTTGTGTTTTTAACAACGCTATTTTTATCTATGGTGTTAATTTATGTCAAAATCTATTAATCCATGAATACTTCTGTACCCAACTGTTATAAAAAAGTATACTGTTATGGATTAAGTAGCCAATAAATGTGCATACTTTAAGATGAGGTCCAGAAAAAAATTAAATTAAATTAAAATGAACTCAAAGTTAGTACTTTCTGACTACTGTGGTACTGCAGATTTATCCTAAAGCCTCTGTGAGTGCAGTTACTTCATTCAGTCCTGGCTCAGATTGTTGTTGAAGTTTGGTAAAAGTTTCCTAGAGAACATTGGAAACAGGGTCAGGGTAGAGGAGAAAACCCTCAGCCTCTCCATTCCTGCCCTGCCCTCAGCCATGAGCAAACCTGAGCATAGGCACACACATTTACTCCAAAGACATTGGACAGGCTATAGAGATTGTTAATGTGAGGTTTAGGGGTCGGTTTAATGCACGTGGGTGGTGTGCTCTAATGAATAGCTCTCCTTAGAGAGAAGCATCTTTGGAGGGAGGGACTCATCAAACCAGAGAAGACTGTTTTATTAATATTTGGACTGAATAAAGAAGCTTGGAGCTCCACAGACATGGATGATGATTGAAAAGGATGGTCAGTGGGAGTTGATGTCACAGCTGATAAAACAAGTAATTGCCTGTTACCTTTGTATTTGTATTCACTAGTGTATGCTACTGATGGATTCTTGTAAGCTTTATGTTCAGAGCTGAGGGTCAGTGTTCAGCTCTCCAGCCCACATTCGTTTACGTAGAAGTTGTAACCTCAAGCATAAACCCTCTTTTTGACGACAACTGTGGTTTCTTTTCCTTTCCCTTTTCGTAAACTCCATAATCCACGATTTGAGGTTTTGGTAACTCTCCCAAGCCAGACGTTTATGCCTTTCTGCAGCTGCTTTTGACTTCTTGCATTTTAATTATGAATTCTATAAGTTTTTTTCCTCCCAGAAAAAGACATCCATCTGGAGAAAATTATGTACATCAAACTTGAAAGACATCATTACATCGGCTCAGCTTAAGGCATTTACTTTATAAAGCGTCTTTAAGAAGAATAAAAACATGTTGCATTTTATTAAGCTTACTCACCTTGCATTATACTTGTTTCACTACGTACTCTCATGCAAGACGGACACTTTCTTCAATTGCCCATCCTCCTCCTGCTTTTTTACGCTCTGTCTTGTGCATCGGAGCTCCTATTTACACATCTTCCAAAATGTAAACTACTGTCATGGATCTATCTGGTCAGCTGGACTTTCAACAAAATGGATTAAAAAAAAAATCAACAAAACGACAGGGTCATGGAGAACCCTCGTGCCACGCTGAGACGCATGTGGCAGGATATGTCATGGATCTGATGTGCCTTTCCATATTGTCTCAGGAGGACGCCGAAGATATTGGAATCATGATAGCAGGGTTTCTGCCTTTTGGCACCGGCGGATACATATGTTATCGGCTGTTAAAGAAGATGGTGGCAGCAGTTTCAGCCATGGCAAAGCTGCCGATCATGTCTGCAGGTGTGGTTTGTGCTTTGAGCTCTCATAATCAGCTGATTTACGAGCTAAACCGTAAGATGGAAAGATTTGTGAGAATCGCAGGCCACTTGCAGCTTCTGGGGCTCGCCAGCATGTTGGGGGCGACCTTGGAAAGAGCTAATAAGCACGGACCAGTGGAATGCCCAGAAATCTGGCTATTTTGGATTAAAAATACCAGCAGAACTCAAGGCTGATGAAAAATGACAGTCTGCCTGAAAAAAATCAAAAACTGTTGTTTATCGGAATCTGACGCCCCCGTTTGGCCTCGAAGCAGGCTGACATCAAATTTCTCCTGGGATATGTGTAAACTGAGAAAGCTGTCTATCCATTTTTTGTAATACCACTATCCTCTCCTCATGGCTTTTTCCCTTTTTCCTATCTAAAAAGAATAAAAGGCCACACTCTTAGGAGCAGCAACAACGTGCACTCCGCCCATCTTTTGGATGACTGTACAAACATAATCTCACTGTATTTTGGTACCATGATAATAAAGCTTATTCTGATTCTGATTCTGATTAATGACACCATTAAGTGGGTTACACAAAGATATTACTAGGGATTTTTAGACAGATATGTCTGTCAATCTGTGATGCATCTTAAACATGCACACAATGAGTGCTCCATGACTGAAGGACTTGCTGTAAGGAACATGTTCTTGAGCTTTAGTGTCTTTTTCTGCCACGATCTGGTGCTTCATGGGCGTCAGAAGCATCTGTAATGTGGGGGGGGGACACTAGTGTGTGTGTACACACATGTGTGTGCGTGCGCGTGCACGTGCACCAGTGTACAAAAACGCAACATTTCATTTAGATTTCCTTACTTTAATTCCTTTTAAATCATGTTTCTCCTCTCACTAAGTTTGTGTAAATTCAGCTGTGGGTTTTAAAGACATTTTAACTTTAATGTACTTTAACACACAGCCACAGATCTGCACTATTTGTGTTTATACACTGGACAAAAAGGCCTAATATCCGGGGAGATACAACAGTATGCAAGTCTACGTATCTGCCACATATCCAATATGTTTCCGGTGCTATACGGGGAGATCTCATCTGTCACAGATCCTAGTACAGGATATCCCACGCATACCCATCTGTGATAGATCCTAGCACTGGATATTTTCTGGATACCCATATATGATAAATCCTAGTATAGGATATTTTCCAGATACACATCTGTGATAGATCCTAGTATAGAATATTTTATGCATACCCATACTCGAGAGATCCTAGTATTGGATATTTTTTGGATACCCATATGAGAAAGATCCTAGTATTGGATATTTTCCAGATACACATCTGTGATAGATCCTAGTCTTGTATATTTTCTGGATACTCATACATGATAAATCCTAATATAGGATATTTTATGCATACCCATACTTGAGAGATCCTAGTATTGGATATTTTTTGGATACCCATATGAGAAAGATCTTAGTATTGGATATTTTCCAGATACACATCTGTGGTAGATCCTAGTATTGGATATTTTCTGGATACTCATACATGATAAATCCTAGTATAGGATATTTTATGCATACCCATACTTGAGAGATCCTAGTATTGGATATTATTTGGATACCCATATGAGAAAGATCCTAGTATTGGATATTTTCCAGATACACATCTGTGATAGGTCCTAGTATTGTATATTTTTTGGATACCCATTTATGATAAATCTTAGTATTGGATATTTTCTGGATACTCATACATGATAAATCCTGGTTTAGGATATTTTCCGGATACATATCTGTGATAGATCCTAATATTAGATATTTTCTAGATACCCATACATAATAAATCCTAGTATTGGATATTTTCCGGATGAACATCTGTGATAGATCCTAGTATAGAATATTTTATGCATACCCATACTTGAGAGATCCTAGTATTGGATATTTTCTGGATACCCATAT